AAAAAAAAAAAAGAAAACACATTTTGTTTGAAATAAACTTGCATATGTGAACCGGAAAAAAAAAAAAAAGAAAGAAAGAAAAGGCACTGCGGAAAGTAAGTCTTCTGGATTTAAGCCTGGCACAGTGACATTTGAACTACTGGCCCTTCCACCTCCTACCTCTGTCTGTCTCAGCCACGCCATCCGTCAGCGCAGGCAGAGGGCAATGGCCGCAGCCTGAGAGAAGAGCGAGGGGCCAGAGCGCAGGGTAACACATCACTAAGGCAGTGACTCCTTGCCGATCCAACCTGCTTCGGCTTTTCCTTATCTGGGGATGCGCATCCTTACCTAAGACACTACCATAAGTCATCCCTGAAGTCTTGTTTCTTCAGCTGTCCCCCTTCTCAGGTCTATGGGCAAAGCTCACCCCCAACTAATAAACATAGCACAAGGATAAAGAAAGGTAGGCGGAAGGATGAGGACAGTGTAGGGGAGTCACTTCTTTGGAGCTTAAAGGATCGACACACTTCTAAAATCAGTTTTAGCCACAGAAGAGAATTCTGTGGTTTCTGTCTGCTGGGAGTTAGCAGACTTGAAATTGTGGTAGATATAGAACCTGTTGTCAACTTGGAACTTAACAGTGAAGAGGTGGAGTTTAGCCTGTCAATCAGGTCGCAACTTGATGACCTCATTTGGAGACGATAAAGAGATAAATACCTTGCTGGAGGTGGGTCACTCACTCATTCCCTGTAAGACATTCCTGTTGCCAAGACACATGGAGCTATGCTAGAGCCCCGGAGCTGGAGGAGCCATGTAGAGACCCACACCAGCACTGAGATGCTTCCACTGCCACTGGATCCACAATACTTTCCACCCACTGGCCTGATTTTCCTGCACTAGGCATCATTACACATGAGAACTTTATAAATTGGTATCAGACATATGGGGTAATATCAGACTTAAGGACTTGATCTGGACTGGGCTGGGATGTTTTCTCAATATTCTATTGCGCTTATATATAAAGCTCTTTCTTATACATTTATGAGTGTCTACAAATTTCTCTAGTCAACCCTAACACAGAAAGAAACATCTAACAATTATAAAACCAAACTCACTGCCAGAGTCAATTCCAACTCATAGCAACCCTAAAGGATAGGCTAGAACTACCCCTATGGGTGTCCAAGACTGTAACTCTTCACAGGAGTAAAGCCCCGTCTTTCTCCCGAGGCACAGCTTGTGGTTTCAAACTGCTGACCTTGTGGTTAGCACCCCAACACTGTAACCCACTACCCCATCAGTGCTATAAAACCAGTTAGGGCCAGTCAATTCTGACTGATGTCAACCCCATAGATAGCAGAGTAGAACTGTACTCCAGGGAGTTTTCAATGGCAGAGTTTGGAGACATAAATCTCCAGACCTTTCTTCCAAGGCACTTTGGGGTAGATTTGAACCTCCATGCTTTTGGTCTGTAGCTGAGTGCATGTACTGTTTGCACCACTGAAGGAGTTCCCACTTCACGAGAACAAAAGCAACAAATGCTGACGAGGGGCGGACAAGAACTCAGAGAGTTGGTGTCATGTTCATTGCAGCATTATTCACAATAGCAAAAGGATGGAAACAACCTAAATGCCTGTCAATGGAAGAATGGATAAATACACTATGGTCCAAGCATACAACGGCATACTATGAAATATTAAAGAATAACCAAGCATCTGTGGAACACCCCATTAACCTGGAGGATATGCTACTGAGTGAAATGAGTCAATCACAAAAGGACAAACACCTTCCATTATTCTTATCGTTAATATCGAAGTAGCCATAGGAACCCATACAAATCCACAGAACCCTCCCAGCCAGCTGCCCATTTCCCTTCAGTAATTAAGATCAGTTGTTCCAGTCAGGACTTCTGTAGTGGCTTAGTGGTTACCCGTTGAGCTACAACCAGCAAGGTCAGCAGTTCAAAACCACCAGTGGCTCAGAGGGAGAAAGACCAGGCTCTCTACTCCTGTAAACAGTTACAGTCCTGTAATCACCAGGCGGCAGTTCTACCCTGTCCCAAGGGGTCGCTGTGGGTTGACATTGACTCAATGGCAGTGATGTTCTGATCAGGACAGCAAAACCCTTCTTTGGCTGCTGGTTCAGTGCATTAAGGAGCGCCACGTGACCACTCTGTATTTATACCCTCACCTACCTAACAAACCTATTAGCACAAATGACATAACTGTGAAGTGTAAGATTAGCAATGCTACGTAAATGGTACTTATTTACTCTTAAAAAGCATACTCCTTTGCAAAGCAACTATTTCAAACCTCTTTTCTGTGAATGTTTCCCACACAGTATCTTTTCCCTCACTCGCCACAAAGGACCTGAATTCTGCTTTAAGGCTGTTGATTTCCTGAGCTGTCCTCTTCCCAGTGTAGAAGTTATTCTTCAAGGCCATCCTTCTATGTTCTTTTTCTCTTGTCATAATGGCTCCTAAAGCAATTGTGCTTTCCCCCAATGTATCTCCACTGCAGTGAATTATTTCATAACTTTGCAACTTCCATCAAATGACTGGGTAGAAAGATGCAAATATGAGGTAGCTGTGGCCCTACAGAGGGATTGCATAGGTGGCTAAGAACATACCCCTGAGGGTGGGGCCATTTAAATAAGGTGTATGGAACCCTAATGTGGGGATTGGTCAGTTGGGTTTTAAATGAGCCATCCCAGAGGCAGAAAGAATAGGCAGTAGAGGAGTACAGCCTTTGAGCCCAAGATGCCTGCATTAAACCTCCTCTATCCTGGAGACAGGAATATATGACAGAGATGAGGTGGCAGCCCAGCAGGAGATGGAGTGTGGGTCACAAAGCAAGAAAGCTGAGTGCCCTCACACAGGAAGCTTATTGGTGGGGTGAGTGGTCTCTGGTTATTCGTTGGGCCACTAACTACAAGGTCAGCACTTGGAAACCACCAGCCACAGGAGAGAGATGGGGTTTTCTACTCTCTTAAACAATTAGTCTCAGAAACTCACAGGGACCGTTCTACACTGTTCTTGAGGGCCACTACGAGTGGGCATTGAGTTTGGTTTGGGGTAGGAGGTGACTTTGTGTTTGCAGGGGTCACCCACACACATCACCTGCTGATGAGGCAACACAAGCTAAGGACAAGGAGTGCCCGTCCTACAGATAAAACCAATTCTGATATCCCAGAGGGTGGTTCTAAATAGCGCACTTGTTTCACATAGACTTGAAAATGTTTCCTCTTGTCTATTAGTTTTATTTGAAAAAAAAAACATTTTAAGTAAAATGCATGTGTTCCCCTGCCCTTTACATTGATGGGCCCTAAAATAACATTTGAAACCCACTAGGGCCGAGAAGCTCCCCACCATCCGGGGTCAGGCTGACACGTGGCCACAGACGCAGGTGCCTCTTACACTCGGTTAGGACCTCCCAGGAAGAACCAAACCAAAAGGCAACGGAGCAAAATCCGAAAGCAGGGAAAGGTGGATTATGGAAATCCTGAAAGCCTGGGGACATGAAATGGGATGGGCTGATAGGGGATTTCATGGGAGATCCTGAGCATCCAGGAATAGCAAAAGGGCAGGGGGTGGGGCAGTTAGGATGGACTTCTAAAGGAAAAGAAGGTGTATACAGGTGTCAAAGATAAAGACATAGAGCATCCGCACCACTAGCCTGTCTCCAGCAGACTCTCTAGCCGGTCCAGAGAGGGCCTACCGCCCTCCTCGGTGGCTAGAGCTGAAGGTGGCAGCCGGGGCCGCCAGAGGGCGTACGCGAGTGCGGCGAGCGCCTGGGGGCGGAGCGATGGGCTTCCGGGCCGGGCTTTGCACTGTCTCCGCCCACTTCCGGCCCCGATTCCGCACTCCGGCAGTCAGGGAGCTCCGGGGCTGGCTTCTTCCGAGGCCTCTGATGGACCCCGCCCCACCTCGCCCCCCGCCCCCGCGCAGGGATGCATTGTGCCACGGTCACGGGCGCCGTCACAGGCAACCTGAGCCCCACCCCCGGCCTGCCCTCGCTTCTTCTCAGACCCTCCCCCGCACCTGCCCGCAAGCTCCCGGGCCCGCGGGTGCGGACCCTGGCCGAACTGCACGCCCCGCGGAGGCCTGTCATCTCCGGGGAAGGATAAGGGAGGCAAGGTCGCAGGCCTCTTCTAGACTGATGTCCAAGGTGCAACCCCAGGGCAGGGCGACGGTGGCCCGGGAGGCTCAGTCCCCCTTGGGGTGCCTCCTGGGCTTCCCCACCTCCTGCGTTGGAAGGGTGGGATCCTACCCAAGCAGAAGCTGGGAACCCCCGAAACCTTTTAGAAGCATCTCTCTGGATCCTTGTGACTGACGAAGCTCCTTGCTTGTTGGGTCGGGCTAGGGGTGGGGATCGATCCGCTGGATTTTCTTGAATAGTTTAGTGTAAATATGAGGCAGCAATTGCCCGTCTGTGAAACAGCAGACTCTTGTATGGGCCTACTGGTGAGGAAGTAGAGCAAGGAGTCTATTTTAAAACATCTCCCAGCTCACGCAGCTGTTTCTGTTGGCCTTCATATCCTTAGAAGTTGGTTAGCGGGGGCCAACCGATTGACGGGGGTGGGAGGGGGTGGGCGACCAAATGTGCTTGGTCTTCTTTTCCAGATCGGCGCCTTGATAGTCCCGAAGCATGGAAGTCATCCACGGCAGGCCCTGTTACTGCAGGGAGCTTGAAAGAGAGGGCCTGCTGTCAGACACCTATTGCTCTAATGAAATACACACGCCACTACAAACACCTGTTCGCCCAACTGCCTCCGACGACAGGTAAAAACAAAACGAGACAAGGGGGCTTTTAGCAGATCCGGGTATGGGGGTGTGTGAGAGAAACCATGTATCCTTAGTTGGGCCCTTATTAGCCGCTGTGAAAAAGAAGAAACCTTGCAGTGTCCACGGCTGAAACCTTGCAGTGTCCACGGCTGAACGGTGTGTGTCCTTTAGAAGGGCGGATATCAAATTCTAGAACTTTAGAATGGTCAGCTCCTCCATTGGGAAATGAGTGTTTTAAGCAAAGGCTGTTTGCTGGTGGCCATGGTTTTCATCGAAGAAAGAAGCGTCGTCGTTCCCTATCACCTCCTAACCCAATCTGCTCAAAAGCCATCACTCCCAGAGGCAGCTGCTCATGTGCTTCTTGTTGTTGTTACTCCCTGTGGAGGCGGCTCCAGCTCACAGGGACCCCATGTACAACGAATGAAAGACTCCCGGTCCTGCACCAGCCTCACAATTGCTCCGATGTGTGAGCTCATTGTTGTAGCTGCTGTGTCAGTCCATCTTATCCCGACCTCTCTTTCCTGGACCTTCTACTGGACCAAACACGGTGACCTTCTCCAGCAACTGGCCTTTCCTGACAACATGTGTAAAGTACATGTAAAGTCTCACCACCTGTACCTCTAAGGAGCACTCTGGCTGTACTTCTTCCAGGACCGAGGTGCTCGTTCTTGTGGCAGTCAGTACTCTTCTCCAGCACAATTCAGATGCATTGGTGGATCTTCAGTCTTCCTTATTCAGTGTCCAGCTGTCACATGCACATGAGGCGATTGAAAATACCACGGCTTGGGCCAGGTGCACCATAATCCTCAAAGTCGGTGCTTTTTAACACTGTAAAAAGGCCTTGTGCCGCAGATTTACCCAATGTATTGGGTGTATCTGTTTCCGATAGCCGCTTTCTAAATATTTGCTCTACCAAACTCCCTTTAATACACTAATTGCAGATTATAATTATACAGTGAACCCTCGACACTTCGTGCTTCGACTTCCGCAGCTTCACTCTATCGCGGTTTTTGCGTAACAGCACATGCTCTGTCATTACTGCCACTGATTGGCTCATACTGTACACGCTTCTGTCTGCATCGCTATGTATCGGAGCTACGTATCAGATGCATTTTTG